GATTCCAATTTCCCCCTTGGCAGATCCCAAATTCCCCCTGGATCCCCCTTTTCTCCAGGCTGAGCTGCCCCAAATCCCTCAGGATTTTCCATTTCCAGCTCTTCCAGCCCCGTTCCCATCCCTGGCCACGCTCCAGCTCCTCAGCGAAGTTCAAAATCTCCTTCTCCTCAATCTTCTGGTGGTTTGGGGTTGGGTTGAGCCATTTCAGAGCTCCTTCACCCAATCCTGGGGGCTCCAGGACCTCAAAAAAACCTCTGGGGACTCTTGGGGATGGTTCTGTGCCTGATCCTCAGGGTTCCCTTCCACCTTGGGATATTCCAAGATCCCAGGAAGTCCTGGAGGTGACCCTGACCTGGAGAAGGCGTTTGGGTGGTGGCCCCAGAGGGACACCAGGCCCAGCTTTTAACCAGACCCAAATCACACCCAGGCACTCCAGGCTTCCCCCTGCGGGGCTGCGATTCCACCTTGCCTCGAGTTTTATCCAAGGGAATTCCAGAGCATTAGCTGGGTTTTGTTTCCAAGATGAAAGATTCCCGGGAAATTGGGGTGCCGTCATTGTTCCTGAGCTCCCAGCAAAATCTCGTTGGGTGGCGGGGAAGAATTCCAGAATTCCGCACTTCCGGAGTTATTGGTGTGTTTAATTCTTTAATCATCACCTTTGGTGGTGCTGGAGGTAAGAAATGTCCCCAAACCTCTCCACGAGGGAGGAAATCCAAGTGGAAATGTGTTTTGTCCTTCAATTCTTAGGGGTGAGGCTGAGATGTCTGGAAGGAAATGGGAGGCTGCCAAAAAATTGATTTTTTGTTATAAATATATATATATTTTTTTTGTTATAAATATATATATATATTATATATATATATATAATCACATCAGGGGGAATCACATCAGAAATGGGCAGAAATGGACAGAAATCTGACATAAATGGACATAAACGATCAGAAATGTCCATAAATGGGCAGAAATTAACATAAATGGACAGTAATTAACATAAATGGACATAAATGGACAGAAATTAACATAAATGGACATAAATGGACAGAGATTAACATAAATGGACATAAATTGCCAGAAATGGACAGAAATGGACAGAAATGGACAGAAATGAACAGAACTGAGATTCTGCTCCGGTCTGAGCAATAAAATGAGCAGTTGGCGGTGATTTCATTTAATCCCACATTTCCCCCTCAATCTCACAATTATCCAATGAAAAAACACCCCAAAACATCATCCTTTTAATTGGAAACCGGATTCCAGGTGGGAGCCCAGAAACTGCTCCAAAACTGAGATTCCAGGATCCAAACCAGCCTCAGCCTCAGGCAATAATTCCCAAATTTCTGCCTGTTTATTTTCCTGCTGGGTGGTGTTGGCTGCTCCCTTCCGAGCCTGGAACTGCCCCGATAAAATCTGGGGGACAATGGAGGCTCTGCCCCCATCTGGGATGATGACACCGACGATTTCCTCTCTGCCAAGCGGCCTCGGAGCCCAATTTGGAAAATTATAGGGAAGAGCAAAGCAGCTGCAGCAGCTTCCTCTGATTTCATCTCCGTATGCAAAGCAGCCGGGAAGGATCAGAGCGGAGCCCTGGAATTCCTGAAGCCAGAAAATCAATTTATGGGCCACGACAACAACAACAACATCAACAACAACAACAACAACAGCATAATCAGCGTGCCAGGAAAAAACAGGATGAGGAATGTCCCAGGTAAAATCTCTGGAGTTGGTTTGTTTGAGGTGAGTCTGGAGCTCCTCAGCACAAAGTGCTGCTCTTTAAAGTTTGTTTTTTTAATGTATAAAAATATGTCGTTTTGTTGGTTTTTTTTCCCCTGAAAATCCTTTGCAAAAAAAACCTAACAATTCCTAATTTTTTAAAAATTGAATTTATATTTCCAGAAGGATTTCTCTTCCAGCTGGGAAGGGAGTTTATCTCCTTCTCTTATCTCTTAAGGAACTCTTTGATCTGAGGCGGGTTCAGGGCTTGTGAAAGGAGCTTTGGGGCTGTGCCAGGGGTTTGCATTTGGGAGCTGAAATTTTTTGGAAGGATCTCTGTGGAATATCAGGGTTGCAAAATTACACAAAAGAAAAGATCCCATTAAAATTTCCAGGGAAGAAATCCAATTCCAGAAACCAAACCCAAGGGATTTTTTTGGGCAGTTTTTTGTTTTAAAATTTTCTCTCCTACAAGACAATGGGACGAGGTTCTTATGGACTTTTTTCAAATATTGGGTTTGGTAACTCCTGGAATTGCCTCAGCTGTCAATCACTGTAATTAATAGGTGCTTTTAATTGCCACAAATTAAGTGAGTCAGACTGTTCTGTGCCGCTCATGTGTCTCCTCTGCTCATTAGATTGATTCCAGAGCCATGAAATGTAAATAAAACCATTTATTTGGGGCTTTGTTTTTGTGTTTTCCTTTCGTTTTAATACTTCACCACAACTGAGAAGGAAGAGTTTGGTTTTTTTAATGTCAATGTAAGCGTGGAAATCACATTATCAACATTTTCCAGGCCCTGGGGATTTTTTTGAACTGAATTTGTGGGCCTGGACTTGAAGTAATGTTTGCTCTGAGTCCTCTAATCCTAAACTAAATTCCTCTCCTCATCTTGGCCTCTGAAAAACAGATCCCCAAACGGAAAATTTAATTTTCCCCAGATTTTAGTATTTTTTGGGTGTTTATTCTGAAGGGGATAACCCCTGAGATGAGGAATTGCAGATAAAATATAAAATCCTTGGCAAGTGCCCTTTTTTTAGCTGAATTTCTGATGGAATTCTTGTCCAGGAATTGCTTTGGCACCTCAAATTTCCTACTTGGAACGTGAAAAGGAAATCCTCTGCTCCAAGGACAGAAATTCCATAAAACCCCATAGGGTGAACACAAAGCGACCACGCACACACAGAGTGAATATTTTAGGGAAAATCTGCCTGTTTTAGGGCAAATCTCCCTCAGTGGATGGTGGGATTCCCAACAAAGGTCCTGGAAGGGTGAAGCACCTTGCCTGGGCCTGTGTGGGCCTGGGAATTCATGTTCCAAGTCAGAAATTCCATAAAAAACACACAGGATGAACACAAAACCAATATTTTAGGGAAAAATCCCATTGTTTTAGGGAAAACCCCCCTCAGAGGATGGTGGGATTCCCAACCAAGGTCCTGGAAGGGTGAAGCACCTGCAGCGCCCTGTGTAGGCCTGGGGATTATCCCACATCTCCTTGTGAAGCTGGGAATTTATGTCCCAGGACAGAAATTCCATAAAAACACATGGGGTAAACATAAAGTGAATATTTTGGGGAAAATCCCCCTGTTTTAAGTCAAATCCCCCTCAGTGGGATGCCCAACAAAGGCCCTGGAAGGTTGAAGCACCTGTAGGCCTGGGGATTATCCCCCACTCCTGTGTGTGGAATTTAGAAGTCAGAAATTCCATAAAAACCCATGGCATGGACACAAAGTGACCACACACACACAAAATAAATATTTTAGGGAAAACCCCCCTCATTTTTTTAGGGAAAATCCCCCTCCCCCCCATCCCCCAGGATGGAGAGATTTCCAGCAAAGGCCCAGGAAGGGTGAAGCAGCTGTGTGGGACTGGGAATTATCTCCTAATCCTAAGGCGTTATCAAAACAGTTGCGACAAGGGGAGGCAGGAGCAGGGAAAACATTCCATTTCACAAGGGCTTGCGTCAAGGTGGCTCCCAATTTCCCTTCTCCATGACAGGATATAAAAGTGCTCCTGACTGGTGGCCCTGGAGCTGCCTCTGCTGACTCGTTCTCCTCGCTGACTGGGTAAGTCAGATTTAACTGAATCAGCTCCTAATTAGAGGCAATTTGGTTTATGGGGAGCTTTGAAGTGAGGTTTTATATCCTATCCTAAATCAAGGGTAGAGTTTATTCTCCAAGCCCGTTCTTGCGTGGGAAGTGGGGCTTGGGATTAAGGTGGTTAAAAGGGAGGAGAGAAATGGGAGTTTTAAAATAAGTTGATGGGAGGAATTTTTAGGAATTGAACATTTATTTATTTATGGAGAAGGATCGCTCCAAACCCCTGATCAGGGTGGGATTGATTCCCAACAGGAAAGGGAATGAAGAGGGAGAAGGGGTGGGAATGAAATGAGAAAAGGACAGGGAGGTTCCTCCCAGAATTCATTCTGGGAATAGGAACAGGACAAAATACAGAAAAGCTTGGGGGTGACCCAATTGTGGCCTTCCAGACCTGAAGGAGCCAAAAGGAACATGAGAAGAGAAAATTTCCAAGGGATGGAGTGCAAGGAAAAGGGGAATGGGCTCACACTGATGGACAGGAGGTTTGGATGGGATTTTAGGGATAAATCCTTCCCTGTGAGCGTGGGGAGGCTCTGAAATGGAATTCCCAGGAAAGCTGTGGCAGCCCCATCCCTGGAACTGTCCAAGACCAGGTGGGACAGGGTTTGGGGTCCATGGAAAGTGTCCCTGCCCGTGCCAGGGATCAGAACTGGTTCTTCAAGGTCCATTCCGTGATTCCATGGAGCAGGAGAGAGGAGTGGGAACAGAATCAGAAACATTTCCCCACAATTCATCTCCTTTGATTGGTGCAATTTATGGAAAAGTGGATTGTGCCTTAGAAATGATGATTTTTAAAAATTATGATTTTAATTTTTTAACCACAAACTCATTTATTCAGATGATTTAATCCCACACATCTGCACCTGTCCATCCAAACACCATCCAGCAAATCCCCATTCCCAGCTCCCTTTGGAATCCAGGAAATTCCAAAGGGGGGGATTATTCCCCCCATACACCTCCAATTTCCTGCTGGATATCTCAGAATTTAGGAACAGAACACATTTTCTTCACCTGGATTCCCTCTCCCACTGAGAAGCCTGGGAACATTTTTTACGTCTAAAAGGCAGGACTTAAAGAATTAAACACAAAAACAAATGAGGAATTTTTCCCTGTCCTTCCAATCCATCCTTCTCAGGCCGTGCCTTCATTGGGTTGGGACCTTCTCATCCTTCCAGGTTGGATCTGGAACGATGTCCTCCTATGGCCAACTGCTCAGCGCCCGCTGCGCTTCGCCCTGCGAGGTGACGTGCGCCCAGCCCTACGTGGACGCCTGCAGCGAGCCCTGCGTGGCCGCATGCGGAGACTCCCGAGCCATCGTCTACGCCCCGCCCGTGGTCGTGACATTCCCGGGGCCCATCATCAGCTCCTGCCCCACCGAGAGCATCGTTGGGTCGTCCATCCCTGAAATCGGCGGGGGAATGGGGTCTGGAGGGGGTGGCATGGGGTCTGGAGGAGGTGGGATGGGGTCTGGAGGTGGTGGGATGGGATCTGGAGGTGGGATGGGGTCTGGAGGAGGTGGGATGGGATCTGGAGGTGGTGGGATGGGATCTGGAGGAGGGATGGGGTCTGGAGGAGGAGGAATGGGCTCCACCTGCGGAGGGGGAATGGGAGGGGGAATGGGAGGGGGCTCCTCCTGTGGAGGGGAAATGGGAGGGGGCTCCTCCTGCGGGGGTGGGATGTCACGGCTGGGGGGCCTCTACCGCGGCTCCTCCTATTTCTCAGGCTACAATAGGAATTATTACCCCTATTATTCCAGAGGGTACTACAGGTATCGCTATGGGAACTACGGGAACTACGGGAACTATGGGAATTATGGGCCTTTTTAACCCTTTAAAGCTGAGGAATGTCCCAAGGAAAAATAGGATGCAGGGTGGTAGTTGAGAGCTAGGAATTCCAAGCAGCCTCTGCTCCAGCTGATCGGGTCGGAGCTGGGGTTGTTTGGATCTTGTTTGTGCTTTATCCAAGGCTTAGGATCCCGATGTTCCCTCCCTTTGTCCCTCTCTCCTGTTGTGTTTTGTACTCCCTGAACCCAAAGAGTCAAACCTGTGAAAGTGTCTGGCTGGAAAAAGAATGTCCTGGAATGACTGCTGGACTGGAGTCCAGGCTGAAATGGGAATGCCGAAATGGGAATGCTGAAAATGGGAATGCTGAAAATGGGAATGCCGAAATGGGAATGCTGAAAATGGGAATGCTGACACGGGAATGCTGACATGGGAATGCTGACATGGGAATGCTGACATGGAGATTCCGTTCTTTGTCTCTGCACTGCCTCATCCCACTTTTTGTTTGTATTAAAGCCCTGTTGCATCACAGCCCCGGGTTGTGCCTTTTATTTCACCACAGTTTCAGTTACAAACTGGCCTGAAAGAAGGGAATCCTTGTGCAGCAATTAACTCTCATCAGAGGGGAATTAATTCTGCTTTAATTCAAATATAATTAGTCTGAAATTCCTCAATAAACTATTTTCCTTTCTGATCTATTCCACATTATCCAAAAAATAACACAGAATAATTTCCAATAGGTTGGAAAAACCTCCAGGGATGGACTGCTGCAGCTCCCAGTTAAAACCAGTTTACCCTCAGAGCCAGGGTAATGGAGGATTGGGATGCTTAGGGGTGACCTCATTTTGTGAGGATCAAAGGTTGGACTTGATGACCTTGGAGATCTTTTCCAGCCTAAACGATCCTGGGATTCTGGAGAAAGGAAAACCAGGAAGTTGCCAATGCAATTTGGAAAGATTTTTATTAGGGTGAAATAAATGAAACAGAACAAAACAGAGCAATTCATGGGTGGTGCCAGGGCAGCCAGGCCATCCCCACAAGGTGAAGCCGTGGCCTTTACAGAAAGCCCCACGTGGAATTCTGAAGCATTCCCACCCCAGCAGAAAGGACACAGGAACAAGATTAATTAAAGAGTTCCAGGAGAGGCGTCGTCCCACGGAGCGGGGTTTGATTGAAGATGAGGCACAGCAGGAAGAGACGTGGGCCTGGTTTTCAGGGATCAGCCTTGGAATTCCAGGCCTGGAAGTGGAGCTGGATCCTGGGTTTCCATCCTCTGGGTTGTTCGGCCTTAGGATGAGCCCCAGCTCCCCACACAGGATCCGCCGCGGGTGCTGCGGAACCTCCGGCTGTACGAGGAGCCCCCCATTCCCAGGGAGCCTCCGTAGCCACAGGCACCCCCAGACCCAAAGGAACCCCTGGCCCCCAGCACGCCCCCGTAGCCACAGGACCCACGGGAACTCTGCATTCCGTAACCAAAGGAACCCCCATATCCCACGGGACCCCCCATCCCCGAGGAGCCCCCGTAGCCAAAGGAGCCCCCGGATCCGAAGGAGGGTCCTGCCCCAGCCATGCCCCCAGGCCCGAAGGAGCTGCCCACCCCGTAGGGCTCATCGGAGATGCTGGCGAGGGGAGCACCCATCACCATGGGTTGGGACGCTCCCACTATGCTCTCCTGGGAGCAGGTGCTCATGGTGGGGCCCGGGAAGGTGAGGACCACGGGAGGAGGGAACACCACGGCTTTGGAGTCCCCACAGGAGGCGATGCAGGGCTCCAGGCTCCTGCTGTAGGCACAGGGCTGGGTGCAGGCCACCTCGCAGCCAGGCTGGCACTCGGAGTTGACGTTGGACATCATCTCTTGGGATTTGAGATCAAGCTGGGAGAGGAGGTGTGAGGTTAAGTCAGGCCATGGATTCCCAGTATGAACCAGTTGTTCTTTGTCCTTCTCCAGCTGCTCCCAGTTCAACCTTCCCTCACAGATCCCCATTTTTCATGCTTTTTCCTTCCTTCCTGACCTGTTTGAGGCTTCTCAGTTCTTCCTTTCCTACCACCACATCTCTTTCTCTTCTGAATCTCTCTCAAAAGAAAAAAAATATTCCCCTTTTCTCTGGGGTTGAACTGTTGATCCTTAAACAATTCCTTGCCCAGAACAATTCCCTTTTCAAGTAGATCCGCAGGAAGATTTGCCCTCAGAAAATCCCCAAGGAAAATCGTCCCATTAATTCCCCTTTCAAGTAGATCTACAGGAAGATTTGCCTTCAGAAAGTCCCCAAGGAAAATCATCCCATTCATTCCCTTTTCAAGTAGATCTACAGGAAGATTTGCCCTCAGAAAATCCCCAAGGAAAATCGTCCCATTAATTCCCCTTTCAAGTAGATCTACAGGAAGATTTCCCTTCAGAAAGTCCCCAAGGAAAATCTTCCTTGCTCTGTTCTTCCCTTTCCCCCAACTTTTCCAAATCCACTCTTCTCTCCCTCAGCTTTTCTAAAACTTCTGGAATTTTGCAAGATAAAAAAGGAGAAAATTCGAAGTATTGAGGAGCGCAATGCAGTCAGACTTACCTCGTAGTCTTGGAGGGAATAAGTCAGTGAGGCTGCGAGGATGGCCGATGTCTCAGGTCTCTCCCCTTTTATTCCATTTTCAGACAATGAGGAGGACGTGATGTCACCCATGATTTACTAAATTCTTATCACTTACAAAGAAAAAGATCCTCTTAAGCCTCGCCATTGTTTTCATTTCATCTCATAATTGCTGATCATTTCCAGCCCTGATTTGAGTGACACAAACCCAACACCCAAAAGTCTCCTTTTGTCTCAGACTTCGTGGAGGAAAATCCTTTCGGCATCATTCTGGTTCCAAAAGAAACAGGAGCTGATCTCTGTGTTTATTTTTCCTTCAGTGACTAGCAGGAAGGTGGCTCCCCTCATGTCACTCACACAATTGGGGTGTAATCCTCAGATTTGGGTGAAATCCCTCCCAAATGGAATCATCTGACCTCAAATGGGGGTCAGGGCTCTTTGCAACCCTTCGTGCCCCCACAGATCGAGGGGATGAGACAGCAAAACTCCTTTCAAGGGCATTGAAGTGACACGCAAGGTCCTCTAAGCCCTGAAACCTCTGAGTAATTTTAATCAAAACTCATGAGTAATTTTAATCAAAACTCATTTTGGGGATGCTGAGCTCAGCGCTGTCACCAGGATGTCACCGGTGCCACTGCAAGGGCACAGCCCAAGGTCACCAAGCCTCTGTGCTCCAAGGTGGATCCCAAACTTGGAGTCTTGGTTGGAAAAGCCCTCCAAGGTTGTCAAGTCCAACATTTGACCCATCACCACCTGGTCACTCAGACCAATGTCCAGTTGTTCCTCGGACACCTCCAGGGATGGGTACTCCAAACCCCCCATGTCAGCTCCTTCCAAAGCCCTTTCCATGAGGAAATTCCTCCTGAACTCTTCCCTCAAAATGGGTTTGACCTTCAAAGTTATCTCATCATCAACCCAAGCCGTTCCTTAGTGCAAACTTGCAGGGTTGATCTTGCCCAGGCCTCACTTAAATCATTAATGAAAAATAACAGGCAGGGGTCAGGTTCCATTGTAAATGCAGTCATCCCCGGGATATTGCACAGGAACCGGGGCTGTAAAATTCCCACACAATGAAAAAGCCAAATTTATGATATGAGAGTCAGATTGTATATGTCGAGGGTTGATTTAATAATTGGGAACTATGAAAATAATTACAGGCGTTAGAGGAGTCACACAGAGGAAAAAAAATCAGAATTTGGTAAGGCTGAGAGATTTTATGGGATGTTTCATACCCCAGGAGCTGCCTCCAAAGAGGTATAAAAGCAGGGACCTCTCAGCAGTCTCCTCATACCATCTCCTGACTTCTCCTGACTTCTCCTGCTATTCCAGGTGAGTTGGATTCAAGCTGATCTTTGCTCTCTCTCATTCTCTGTAGTGATAGTTTTAAAAAAGGACTCGTTCCTTGATTTTGGGCATTTTGAGCTGGGAGAGTGAAATCCTGCTTTTCGTTGGAGTCTCACTGCAGTCGTTGGAAGAAATCAATCTGAGATTTAAAGATAGAATTTTAGGAGTTGTTTCTATTTTTCTTGTGGCTTTTCAAAGCTTGAGGCACAAATTTAAAGCTTAAATTTACTGAAAAGCCAAATCCAAGATGTCTTCTACAGGAGAGGGAGGAATGGTGTCCCAGGACAGGAGGGTTTGAGGGCAGAGGTGAAGCCACACCTCGATCCTGTGGCCAGTTCTGGGTCCCCCAACTCAGGAAGGTCATTGGGGGCCTGGAGAAGGGTCTGGAAAATCCTGAGGGAGATGGGGCAGCTCAGCCTGGAGAAAAGGGAGATCCAAGGGGAATTTGGGATCTGTCAGGGGGGATTTGGGATCTGATCCCAGGGAATGGAACAGGACAAGAGGGAACGGCCTTGAGATGTATTAGGGGAGGCTCAGGGTGGGAAATTTGGGGAAATCCCTCCTAGAAAAGGGAAAACGCCTTGGAAGGGGCTCAGGGACATTTGGAGAGGCCGCTTCTGGAGGTGTCCAAGGAATTTCTGGACACTGGCCTGAGTGACCAGGTAGGGGTTGGGAACAGCTTGGACTCGATGCTCTTGGAGCTCTTTTCCAACCTCGGGGATCCTGGAGTTCCATGAGCAGGAAGAGCAAACCTCATTTTCTGTCCATAACATTGCCTGACTCCATCTTCTCCTCCCCAGCTCCTCGTCCATCCCTGAGAACCATGAACTGCATCAGCTCCCGGTGCCTGCCCGGCTGCGAGGTGGCCTGNGGCATTTTTTGTGATAGAGAGAGAAGTGCAACACTGGAGTAAAATTAAAATGTTCAAGGAGATCTGGGCCTTTGCACAATCACCAGGATGATAAAATCTGTAATTTCCTGATGGAAGAAATTGTTGCCCCATAAAAATGAGATCTCTTCTCATTTCCCTCCATCCAGAATAAAAGCCAAGCTCAGAGTAGTTAAGTTGTAACCTCCCCATCAAATAATCAGGGTTTAATTGACACTTTCCCTTTGTGGCTGGGAACAGCACAACCTCACATTGGGAGATCTGTTTCTCCAGCCACAAAAAAACTTCCCTTCCCAAGAGACAGAATGGATAAAATGGCATAATTTGGCTTGGAAAAGAGCCCCAAGTCCACATTCCCGAACATTTCAGAGCTCTGACATGGAATCATTTCCCGATTCAGCACCCACAGCCGCATCCCAGGTAATGGAAATGGAAACAGAGGCAGAGAACTCACCGGGCTCACGGAGAAAACCGGACTGAGGAGAAGGCGCTGGAGAAGCTGCAGGAAAATCCCAGTTTTTATACCCTTCCCCACGGCTCCCGGGCCATGCAACACAATTTTGGGACATCACCAGCGACAGTGTTTTGCTGTATAAGCTCCTTATAATTGTAATAATTGCTTTGATAAGTGTTAATGATTCGTAAATCAACTCCTCATCAGCCAATACATGCACACACCCTTCGTCTTGCTTTAATCCTTAAATAATTTTTAGATTATTTTATTACAGCTGCCATTTCCTGACCTGGTTTGGCTTGGGAATTGGCTTGGAAGGGTGAAGGATCAGGAATTCCCCCAGCAAGGGCAAAAATCAGTTTGGCTTTGTCAGGGGAAATATTTTCTATTCTGCAGAAAATTCCCTGGAAATCCAGAACTGGGAAAACTCACAAATTTTGTGTTTGTAAATCCTCGGTTGGGAAGGGTCATTTTTTATATCTATTTAACCCAAGGAACTCATTAAAAAGGACTTAAATTAATTCCTTGGATGCTCATCATCATCCAAGGAAGCCCTGTGTGAGAGCATTTTAATTATTGTAATTCTCCTTTTGTCATCCTAATTACCCTAATTTTGTCCCCTTTTGGGACAGCTGCAATATTCCAGGGAGACACGTGTCCAGGAGGCATCATTGGATGAAAAAAACCTAAATTTTTTTGAGTGCATGAAGCTGATTCCACCTAAAACACAATAAGAGCGCCTCAGGACTGGCCAGGATTATTTTTTCAGGGAATTCCTGAATTCCCTGAAAATTCCAACAGAATTCCTGGGTTTAAACCTCCTCTGGAGAAAGGCAGAAATTCATAAATAGGAGGAGAGATCTCCAAGCAAAATTCCCTTTATCAATCAATCACCAGAAATATCCTGGAGGGTTTTAGACATGAGGGATATTTTGGGGTGGTTGTCCAAGGCAAATATCCCACAAAAACATTGGTGTCATCAAAGACTAAACTGGGGGGATTTTGGTTCTAAATCAAAGGCAGCTGGAGGGATTTGAGATTTGAGAAATATTTGAGATTTGGTATTCAAGATTCGAGATTTGAGATTTGATATTTGAGATTCAAGATCTAAGATCTGAGATTCGAGATTTGAGATTTTAGATTTGATTCTCAGTGGGAAGCTGTGGGAAGGAAGCAACTCCAGTTTGGAGCTGGAATTTCATCTTGTTTTTCCTGGAAAGGGTGGCCAGGCCTTGGAAAGGGCTCCCTGGGATTGTCCAAGGGACACCTGACCATTGTTCTGGGTGATCTGGTGAGGAATCAGTCCCAGGCTGGACTACATGACCTTGGAGCTCTTTTTCAGCCTGAACAATCCCAAAATTCCATGATCATCCTATATTTCCCGTTTCTATCACGATAAAGTTTATTTTAGTGTTTACATAACTCCTATCCCCACATTTCGGGTGTTTCCGGACCCGATTGGAAAAGAGAGCATGAGGAGCAAATATCGGGGTTAAGATCTTGCAACAGAACCCGAACAAGCCCTGTCAGGCCCCGGTGACATCCCCGGGTTTGACAGCTCTGCCAGTCAGCAATTCCTCCTTGACTCCTCAATTAAGGTGAAACTTTCTTGGTTCCTCCAATTGGGAAATATCAATTTACATGGAAAATCCTGAGTTCTGCTGCTGGTACCCACATTTCAGCAGCTCTGGGATGAGGTAGCGCTTCCATCAACTCCCCAAAATCCAGATTTTTGGGGTGGAAAGCGAAATATTGTGCACAAAACTTATTTATTCATCAATAAATGCCTCAAGTGGATCTAAACCCATTCCAGCCTCAATTCCAGCGAGGCTCAGGGGACAGCACCAGCTCCGAGGTGACTTCCTGGGGGTCGGAATGTGGAGCAAATGGGATCAAACCCGAGGGGTGCAGTGCTTGGAACGTGACTTGGGATTAATAATGAATTTATCACGTCACTTAGGAGAACAATTAGGACAATTAATGAAACCATCCAGCCCAGCAAAACACGGTTTGGTAACGCGTGGGAAGCTCTTGCACAAAGCGCAGCTCCCATCCCACTGAGGGTCGGGAAAAGTATAAAAGAGCCCTTGGAATTCTGCAGTGCCATCCATCCACAGCTGCTCCTCGTCTCCACTTCTCCAGACCCGGTGAGTTGGATCTTCTTTATCCTCTGCGTGAATAGGGGAAGATATTTTCTGTCTTTTCTCTCCTTCCCAAAAGATGTTTTCTTCCTCTTTCTTTCTCTTTCTTCCTGCTGAGGGAAGGCACCAGAGCAGGATTTCTTTTTCCCCTGGAATTTTGGGCATTGTAGTTAGGATTTATCCCCTGCTT